GGACTCTGCCTGCCTTCCTACACGCTGATCGTTCCTACTTATTCCCCGGGTTGTGTACCGGCTACATATTTACAACATGTTTACAACAAGCTTACTGCTTCATTCGTTGTGTGCTCATTTGCCTGCGAATTTAGGACACAACAGCATGGTCGAGCTGTTTCACCAAATGGTTTGAGCACATTGAGCTGTGCGTGCATGAACGCCTGTACTTCGAGAAAATGGAGTGCCTATTTTCGTGTAACAAAAATACAACGTTTTGCGCATTCGGAAACTCTTTGCTCATCCCTTGTATGGATCAACCTACGTTTTGCGCTTTCAAAGTGATACACATTATTACAGGCCTGGGTTGGTCCAGCTTCCAACCTCACCGGGAATGGCGAATCCAAAGAGAAAGTAGACAAATTGTGTCATGTATTCGGTGTCATGTAATTTGGTGATTGCACCACGGATGACGTTTAGCATACCCACAGAAATCTTAGTGTTTGTCATTTGAATAGATCTATGGTGCTTCAGGAGCTCCTGAAAGGCTGAGTGTATGCTGTAGTAGTTCGGTTAGTTTTTCCGTATGATGCAGATATCTGGGCGTTACGGGAACAGGATGAAGTTAGACTGTCAGTGTTTGAACACCACTGTCTACGCCGCATTGCATGAGTCTGATGGGAGGCAACGGGACAAATAATGCTCATGTATGACCCAGAGTTTTCGACAATCGCAGGCGTTTAACTTCCACATAAAATAGATTCAGTGAGTCATGTGTTACGCATGGTGGGAGATTTATCTTGTCTCCACGTGCAATATTTTTCGTAACAGGGAATGATTTGGTGATAACTTTGTAAGCAAACCGGCCGAATGTACAATGGTATCAACGAAATTAAGAATACAAATTCAGTAATGGAATAACGCGATGAATTTGTATTACCGCACAAATATAGAATCTGGAATTTTCATCCAACATATAACAACAGGATATACTGGTATGCATCATAGGTTAGAAGAAGGCTAGAGATGGTGGAACTAAAATCTGGCACTAGGGTATGAAGACCCTGACCAGCGGACTTAGGCATGTAGTGTTTGCGGTAGAATACTCTGTCCACCTGAATGTCCATTCTCACCTTGGATCTGCTCCCAGATTTCTAGTTCCTCCCTCTACTTCTTCATCTCCTTCTAGGTAGCCAAAAGACGGTAACCAAGATCGGTGCACGAAAGTGCAATGTTATTGGTTGTGTAAACCGAAACTGAACTGAAAAGCAAAGTGTTGCCCTCGAAAACTACGTCAAATCAAAAGTGGTGGTTAACAGGCGGTTAGAACTTCAGTGACGAAGACGTATACGGTGAGTTGTGATTCGGACAGCTGAGAACAGAATAACATCAAGATGGCAGAACTTCTGTCTGATAAGTATATTAATTGCTCAGTTTAACGACATGCGCACGGATTTATCTCACTCTCGTGGAAGTTTCAGTTCAGTTTCTGTTTTTACAACCATTAACCATGCATATTCGTGCGCCGGTTCTGGTTGCTGACTTTTGGTCACTCATTGAAATAAACCAGCAGAATGAAGATTGGAATGTTGAGAGCAAATTCAGGCAGAAGATAGCGCATTTATATAGACTGGTTTTACAAGAATAATGAGTAGATGCATGAGTGCCACTGTTTGCGACACCAAGCCATATTACTCAGTGTCTCTGACCATCGGTGACCACTATCTCGGGGTTTCCAGACAGGTAGCCTAACGGCACCTATGTGACGTAATCTATTGGTTAGGGTTCTTATATCCTCATGCCAGGGCTTCATTTGACCATCCTTGACCTTTTTCCATCGGCTACCTGCCTCGGCAAACCGCTCGCCGTGGCAACCTATTTGGTGACATGCGCAAAACATTTCCCAACCACCGTAGTCTATGAAGGTCGACCACTTGTTCCAGTGGACGACCGCGATTACCTAAAACTCTGCGCCTAATCTCAGCATTTCTCGTCCAGTTTCCCCACCAGTGCAATGCGGCGTAGATAGCGGTATTCGAAAACCGAAAACCTATCTTTATCCTGTTTTCCTAATGACCATGGAGCAGGACTAACTTAACTGTTGCAATGTACCCTCGACCCTTCACAAACAACCGTATGTAGCGGAGGCGCCACAGGTGTCTCAAATTGGCAATTACCAGATGAGCCATTTATGTGTGTCTGCGATACGTCATCCAGGTAGAAAAATTTATCTTCCTCCTGTAATACTCCTTCAGTCAGGGTGAGTTTGGGGGGCTGGACGAATCCAGTCTTGAAGTGTAAAACGCATGCCGAACATGGCTACACTAGCACTCAAACTATCCAGAACAGCTTGCAACTTACCTGCATCTTCGCTCAGCAGCACAATGTAGTCTGCATTCTCCACATCAGACAGTCTGACACCTGGAAGTAAATCGATGCCGCTATTCTCGCACAAGAAAAAAGCTGTTCCCATAATCAAATCTATTACGAGGTTAAATAGAAAAAGAGAGAAAGAGCAACCATGACGAGCACCACTTTCCGTGGTGAACTCGGGCGAAAAAGTGCCGTAAGCCCGGACTCGAATTCGGCTATTAGTATAAAGGGATCACAAAAATTGAAATGAACTTCTCGGGCACATCCTTCAGGGAAAGGCAGCACCAGAGTTTAGAAAGGTCGACTGAGTCGAAAGCCGCTTTCAAATGGAGAAAATAAAAGAAGTGGTGTTTTTACGAAAAGAATGTAGATGCCCGAGAACTTGGCAAAGAGTGAAGATGCGTTCGGTTAAAACTCGACCAGGTCTAAAACCAGGCTAGTTCTCACACGTGTACCCTTCACGAGTGGCAGACAATCGACGGAGTATAATACCAACTGGAGGTTTAGAGACAATGGTGATTAAACTAAACCTCAATCTGACCATCATATCGTCAAAAATCTGATTAAAATGAGCGAGAGAAAGCATTAATTGGTAGATACAACGTGGAGCAATCGTAATTATTGTTGTGATTTCAAGAACACAGCAGACATTTGCACGTTTTAAGCAAAATGACCGTCAAGGTCACAAGCCTCTTTGAAGAGACCAGCGTTATTTTACCAATCAGTTTTCCCCGCGGAATATCGAATCAATGGGGAGGTTACAGTACTGAATGGGTATTGCTGTTAAAGTTCAGCAATTTTTTCCCATCCGTAAACTATAAGCTCCAAGAATGCTGCGGCGGAGCGCTTTAAATTAAAACATTTCGCCCCAATCGCAATGCACTTGAGAATTTCCTAACTGTGCTCAAAAGGGAAGAGAATATCCCTACAGTTTTTGGCCTCATTTGGGATATCTCGGGGTAGATTCGTGGTGGAAAACTGCATACCTGAACTCATCGGCCCAAAAGCCGGGCAAAGTAATGTCGATCCGAAGAGGGCAAATAAATCGTGGACACAAGTGCAGTTCGTCTAGTGTGCGTTGCGCAACTAAATGCTGTTTTCATATTTTTTCTAAGGATTTTATATCTAGTCATCAACAAGCTAATTTCATTCGTAACAAGTGGTTGGTTCATTCTTAATTGTGTGCCTATCATCTGGTAATGCGCAATCCACAAAGATATGATTTTCACAAATACCATTAGTTTCCAAAAGCATGTATTTGAAACTTCAAGAGATAAAGCAATTTGTTGACGCCGAAAGGTCTAACATGTTTGAAGCAATCGAATTGTGTGTTCTCGGAACGCGTCGATTATCCATCGATTTTTCTTGAATACCTTTCAACAGATGCTCATGAAACGACGGACGATTCGACTGAGAACCGGGTGCTGTACTTTGGGTAAAGTTACACAGATTGAAGCAAACAGTGAGGTTATTCAAGATATTCTGTAAAAATCCTATGAGGGATGATAAGCTTTAGCTTCGTTAAATCGCCCATAATAAAACTTTGACTTTGTCTCTGAATGTTGTCTGGTGAAACACTAAGTGAAATAACGCAGCCACGTTTACTGGAAGGGAAATGCAACGCGAAGTGTTATGTTCGATGACGACTTATTGTTCACATGTTATTTTCATGAACAAGTGGAAAATGTCATAACATTGGACAATTATTTTCAAACCAACAATGACAAAAATGTT